ATTGGGGTAAGTGTTCCTTATCCTATATTGATTATATTTCATGATTTCATACTCATTTATATCATGAATCCGTGAATTTATGGAAGAAAAATTAGATTTTTATAAATTCTTTCAAAAATAAAAATTTAAGATTTGAAGGTCCATTTAATATCTGAATTGGGCAAATTTGGTATGGTTGAACTCGTATCGGAACGGGTGTTCGGATTTCGCGAGTTTTTTCGGGATTTGAGATATGGGTCCCACTGCCGAATATTTTAATGAATTTTAGATTTTTATCCGGAAAATTTATAAATTCATATGGAATTAATTCTTATGATTCGTATTGAATGTATCGAATTGTTTGTGAATAGATTTGAAGCTTTCGGAGGGAAATTTAAAAAGAAAAGTTGTAGTTTAATAATTGATTGGAATCTGCAAAGCGAGGTAAGTGTCGTGGTTAACCTTGACTTGAGGGAATAGAACCCTTAAATTATTTGTTATGTGAATTGCATGTGAACGACGTATAGGCGAGGTAACGAGTGCCTATACGTCGTCAAATTAATTGTTTGCATGCTTACTTGAAAAATCATAAATTATTTTTAATCATAAATTAATTATTATAATAATTATTTCTCTCTTATTCTTTGTCAAATATTGTTGTTACTTACTGAGTTGGCGTACTCACATTACTCCCTGCACCTTGTGTGCAGATTCAGGTATAGCTGGACACGGTAGTGGTTATTGAGTGTTCTGGTTGTAGATTTTTTTGGAGATAGCAAGGTAGCTGTTTGGCGATCGCAACCCCTGCTCTTCTCCCTCTTATCTTCCTCTAGTGGTATTTAGCTATTTTCCAGGCTGAGTTAGCCTTGATATTGTTAGACAGATTGTATTAGATGCTCGTGACTAGTGACACCCCAATGTCGGGCTTTTCTTTTCCGCACTTTTATTTTTCTTTGATTTGAACTCCTTAAATGAAGGTTTTATGTTAAATAATATCAAAATTATCTTGGAAATGAAAATATCGGTTTTGTTTGGAAATGAGTCGGCTTGCCTAGTTCCACGATAGGCGCCATCATGGTAGGTTAGGTTTTATGGTCGTGACATATTTAGACACTGTTATTTTTTATGGATTAATCACTATATTTCAGACCTTACTTCCGCGTTTATTTCTTTGTTATTAATAAATTTAAAGATTGTTTAAAAATTGGTTAATATCATTCTAACGTTGACTTGCCTAGCAAGTAAAATATTAGGTTCCATCACGATCCGAAGGTGAAAATTTCGGGTCGTGACAGCGCAAGCTCTAATAGTAGTTTAATTTAAAAATATACGAAGTGTATCAGACTTGTGTCATGTTATAGATCTAGGTTCTTAGAGTTATTTACTCATTTCCTTCTTAATTTGGTTATTTGAGGCCTTAACATCGAGCCGATCCCAACATAGTCTATTTTAGTATCGAGCGAGTCAGCTTTTATAATACCAAGTTGAGTTGAGCCCTATCGAACTCTATTTCAATTTAATCAAGGCTGAATTGAGCCCAATCTTCTCTTCTCTATTTGTTTTCACATATTAGGGAACACATTTTCGGGATTTATCATTTAATCACATTATACTATATCCGAGAGTACGTAAGTTTGAAGAAAGTTAAATTTGAACTTTTTTATGCTACTCATTAAGCAAAGCATACTAGAATATGAATTCTTAGATATTGTGTTATGAAAATGATAATTTAATTTTAACTTAAGAATAAATTTGAAAAAAATGAATAAATTCATAGTATATGAATTGATCATAAAATATATAGAATTATGTAAAGTCGATGATGTTAAATTAAATATATAATATTAAGTATAAGTTATACAGTAAACAAATAAATGAACAATGAAATCATATAATAAAAATTACGAAGTACAAAAGTTATAACTTTATCATCGAAGAATTTAACGGGAGGAAATATTTAACATCATTAAAAAGAAAAATTTATGATAAATTTTATTTTTCGATATATTATTTTAACGTAATCAAACTTTCAAAATCACACAAATTTAAAATAGTCAATATACTAATTTAATTGTGATTAATTTACATGAATTAAGACATAAATTTTTATGCATTTAAATTAAATATAGAACAATATATTGAACTTCCAGAGGTAAAAAAAGTAAATCAACAGTAAAATAAAAAGTTTGTACTTAATTGAATCTCACTAATAATTTAAACTCTTGAATTAAATATTTTAATTAATACTATTCAGGTAATCTATAAAGTGTCCTTGAGTTATATTACTAAATTATATTACTGGCAACAATATTATTTTTGTTTCAACCATAAAGTGCCTTTGTGGTTTAAAAATGATTTGCTGATTAAAATTCCACAATTTTGTGCAAAAGTAAAGCGGAGGACTTCCCTCTCTTTCTTTTGGTTTTTAGTCGAACACTTCCCCCTTTTTTGTTCCAAACCCTTCCCAAATATTTTTTTTGATAAGGTAAACCCTTCCCAAAGTTTACCAGACGCTTCAACTAGAGTTCCGAAGTTTGAGATCTGAATGATCCTCCGGCCTTCCCTCAACCCAAAATTAGGGCTTGAAATGGTAAGCTTATTCTCCTCTTGTTTCAAGGTTAGGGTTTAATTTGATTTTCATGTAAAAATTTGTTAGATTTGCTAAATTTTGGGTACAAATAGATTCTTATGCTTTCGCAACTCGAATGCTTTGTTACTGGCGGAATAACTTCATGACTTATTGTTAAATCCGAGAATTTTTCAGTTGAAATAGAAAATATAATTACCAGAATATATTATTTGCTATTTGTGTATCAGCTTAAAAGGTACTGAAATAATTATAGGCTGGGGCTCAATTTATGTGGAGGATTTCGAGAAAATGTATCTGCACTTCCCATATACATTGTCTCATTATTTGGTTTTCTAACTACTTAGGTTTATTGAAATGCTTTTTGATTTGGAGTTTGTCTATTAGATCATATTATGTTTTCTTTTCATTGTAATTATTTATCTAGGGACAGGTATGCATCTAACTTATAGGTGTTGTATGTTTTACTAAATCTCAGCTTAACAGAACTTTGTTGTTATAGCACTAGAATGAAACGCCTTTCATTCCTTGTTTATGTGATTTACTTTGCATTGTCGAAGCCTTATTTTTACTTATTCGTTAAACTTTTTCTTTTTCATTGAACATATTAGCAATTTGTTAAATTTTATGTGCAGGGATGAGGGCCTAATATTGAGGTTAGACTCTTAATGTCACTTTAATTGAATGACCTTATATCTTTAGAGTTTTTGTGCGTTTGTCCATAAGCTCGTTGCATATAAATATCTTTTTCAGTAATCCTGTACGACTTGGGATATGGTTGAGACAGTAATAATTGTATATAACATGAACACTTTTGCTTCTCTTTTGGATTGGCAACTTAATATCAATTATGTCATATACAATTTCGTTCTTTTTTAGGGGGTGGGCAGAGTGGGGTGAAGAATAGTTAAGCTGAACTAACATGTTGTGGTAGAGAGGCTAAAGTTTAATTTTTTCAACAAACACGTCAAATAAGTACCATGGCTATTCTAAAAACTAGAATGCATGTGCTGCAACTAAAATTTTTATATGCACCCATTTGGGATCCTGGACTTCACTGTGTTAGTTTTAGAGGCTATTTCTTTTTGGTATTCACTCGGTAGAAAAAGATGGTTGGGGAACACCTTTTGACTGTGCACCTATCTCCTTTTTTTCTTATATAATGGAAGTTGGATGCATACTAAAATGATGGGACATGCTGAGGCTCAGAATAAGTTCTAGTCTATTCTTAGTGAGGAGTTAAACTGGTAGAATTAACTATTAGACAAATGAGCTAATCCGACCTTTCTACATTTAAATTTTTTACTTGAATAAGTGGACTTGATATGTCCTAACTGGCTATTGATACATTTTTCTAATGAAGAGATAATTTTCTTTACTATCATTGCCTTCTGTCTGCATAATCATTTCTTTTATAAGTTTTTTGAGATTGTCAACCAATCTTGAACCCTTGACCTAGTAGTTTGGAGAGAACTTCCAACCACTATGAACAAGGATGGCCGGTGTATTTTCTTCGAATTTGAATTTGTTAATGGTGAACTCTTCATTACTCCATAGAGGGACATGCAAGGGTATCAACATTCTGTATTAGTGCTACCACTTGAATTTTTTTTCCTTACTCTAACATGCATCTTTTTCAGTAAATCTATTGTTGCACCCTAGTGTGACTGTTAGATTGTTAACTCTTTTCTTTTGTATTTTATATTCCCTTGGTGTTGTTATCGTTATCCTGCTTTTGCGTAGTTCCTTAAATTGCTGAACAAAGCAACATCTACAATTCAATTGGATGCAGCATTACGCTAATGAGGAGTTCTTTTCTCTAACTTCAATCAAGGTATGTTCCCACTTCACAATGCTTAGGTATTTAGATAGAGAATATTTTTCTTGAATTTGGTTCCTCTAGGAAGTTCAATCGTTGCTCCAGGGTATTTCTCAATTTATCTGTGTAAAAGATCATATAAGTTATATGTCATGGTTACTAAATTTATGGTCTGATTAGTTCCCGAAAATTTTCTATCTAGTATTTCATGTCACAAATTCTGATACTATTGGAAATGTAATGAGTTATTTTGAAAAATATGATAAGTTTAAAATAGAGCAAATTTTATATGGTTTCAATATAATGAATGCTTGATTATTACACAATTGAGAACTTGTGTCTCTGTATTATGTGATTGATAAAGAGGATGTTTTTGGATTATTGATACGCCAATCCTCTCTTTGTTGATGTTTAAGCATTATCACCATTGTAAAATTTTGGCATATCTCAATTTTAACTATGTAAGAGCTGCATCTTATCTTTAAAATAATTAGATGTTCTTGTTGTCAGCAAGCTTAGATTAGTAACACCACTATATAAGCATTAAGTAAACTCATTAAGTAGCCTTGTTAGAATTATCTCATACTAATGCTAATCTTTGATGGTTACAGGAAATTATATTTGTCAAGTCTTAAGGTCTTGTTGAATTTCTTACCAACATCTGGTTGCCATTGTATGTGCTATCTTTTACTTCTGCATTTGATTGTTTTGATAAATTATAATTGGATTATTATTAGAATTTTCTAATTTCTTTCTCTCTTTTGATCCTTTGCTATTTTTTTTAATATATGAAGGATACAGTTCTCCAACAANATTATTAGAATTTTCTAATTTCTTTCTCTCTTTTGATCCTTTGCTATTTTTTTTAATATATGAAGGATACAGTTTTCCAACAACAGAAAATGAAGTCAACCACATACTAGGAGGAGTTTGAAGGCAAAGGAACAGTTTGGAGATCTTTTATGTTATTTTTTGGGTCATGTATATATACATAGAAAATGTATTATAATGTATATTAGAATACTTTATATTGTTTGACTTTTTAGCAATGAAAGGTTCTTATATATTTTTATTTCTCAGAACTGCTTTATTGACTACAAAGTAACTTTATATTTTATGATAATTTTATTTGTCATTTATCATGATAATTTATAGTGACAATTTTATTTTGTCAGTAATAGCAATGTTTTTAGCGATGAGATGATAGTTTTAGCTACAAAATTGTAAGCCAATTTTATTAAAGCAAATTTGTCACTAATTTTTATATTTAGGGTCGAAATATCTTTTTGTATATAATAGGTAATTTTTAGTGACAGAGTTAAATTTGTTCTACTACGAAATACATATAACTTTAGAGACAATTAATGTTGTCACTAAT